TACGATCTCATTACTCCAAATTCAACCATACAATTTTTATTTAACGGGAAATTCTAAGGAGAAATAGAAAATATTATAATATTTCAAATCGAATAGAAAATAATTCCTAAAATACTTTAGGACAAATATTTATCTTTCCAACTGAAATAAAAAGAATATAATAATTTCTTCCAATAATTTAAGATTAAAATAATTTTAGTCGACCAAATAAAAAAAAAGCCAATTAATCCAAATTACATCATTAGAAAAGATAAGATATATTCAATTATTTAAAAATATCGAGACTTAATCCCTAATAAAATTAGGCGAATTGTCTCGAGAAGTTTAAATAAGTGAATATTTCCTTTTCCCTTCAAACTTAATTAATTTTAATGCAATCAATTTTTTTGGTCTTCCTAGTGGGATATTTATTTTTTTTAAAACATCAAAAAATGACATCTAGTTATTTTAAGATTGTCCCTTCTTAATATTTTAAAATAAATAAATATTATCTTTAATCAAATTATGTAATCGGTTGAGTTATGCTTATGAGGCTTTCAAACGAAATAAAATATCATGTTTAAAAAAATATATGTATAGATTTTATTAAGTAAAATAAAGTTAAAACACCTTAAATTGTTTTTAGTCCATGTGTATATTTATATTTTTTATTTCTCACGAAGATGTCGTTTTCACTACCACTTAAAGGTGAAAGAACTCTAGTATAAAGCTTATGTTATATAATGTAAGTGTCGTGTGTGAGGAGAAATTATCAAACCTTTGACAAACAACTACATAAAAATTGAACTAAAGTGAATCCAAATTTTCAATATTTGAAAATCACTCAAATACAAACATTAATATACAAATGATAAAAAATAATAAAAGAATTGAAAAAAAATCAAAATAACCGTCAATTAAATAAAATTGAATTCTCAATTTTCAATTATAGAGACAATATATAATCGATTTAGGGTTTAATCCACTAAGTTTTCAGTGAAGTCGATAGTGAACAATAAATAAATAAACACCTTTAAAAATAAATAAACAAACATAAATATAATCTTATTTATTCAAACTCGATTTATTTATAATCCTTCCTACCAAAACACAAAGACAAAGAGCTGAAACAGGATGAGTAGTACTATCCGCCAATCCGACCAATATACTGTAAAAATATCCAAAAATCAAAAATAAAAACATCCAAATATAGAGAAGAAAAATAAGAATTGTAAGAAAAATAAATTTGATAGAGACAAATATTGGGTAGTTTTGTTATACGATAGTCTTAATATACGATTAAAAAGATTTTACTGAAAATATTAATATTTTTTAATATTTTCGATAAAGTGTTACTTAAAACATTATTTTTTACCGAAATATTACTACCTAATTTCCAGTAGAAAAATAGTATTTTAAATAGCGCCTAATATTAATTTTTCTGGTAAAAAAATGTTTTAGGTAGCGCTTTATCGAAAATGTTAGAAAAATATTAACATTTTCGGTAGCTAGGGATGGGCATGGGTCGGGTTTTTGGTCCACCCGACCCCACCCGAGAACAAAGAATCTTCCACCAGAGAACAATAAATCTTTCACCCGAGACTCAACCCGACCCAAAATAATAAAAAAGTATCTTTATTCAATAAAAAGTGACTTGATTTAAAAAAAATAATATATAGATGATATTATTGTAATTATTCATAAATATATAAGGTAAAATTATATATTTTTTTGGTCGGGTCGTGTATTTTTCAACCGAACCCATCCGGACCAGAACATCACATTAAAAAAATACATACTTAGATGGGTCAGGTCGAGTCAAAACTCGTCGGATTCGGATCTCAGGCTCATCTCTACCGATAGTGTATTTCTTTAACCGTATATTAAGACTGATATATCTTAAATATCCCTGGTTTGAACAATAAAATAATTATAAAAACATATAAAATTGATGGACAAAAAGTTGAGTCACATTCTGAATATTTATAATTAAAAAATAATAAATGTGTATTTTTTTATTGGAGTGTAATAATATTGAGCCAAATAATAATTAGAATAATTGAAAAAAAGTTGGAACGAATTTAAAAAGTATATAAAAATAAAAAAATTATAATGATAAACTTGATCGGACAATATTTTGAGAAAATTTATTTTATTATCTATAATAAATATTACAGTGATATATAGAAGTCACCTAAGAAATATGATAATTTTAAAAAAAATCCAAAAGATACGACATTTTTCAGCTTTTTAGAGAAATTACAATTTCAAAAGTATATATAAAAATTAAAGATGTCGTATTTTCTTATCGTTTTTTATAAAATAATGTAACATTTATCATACATGAAAAAATAAACTCCCTAATCAGGGATAGGTACGAGACCTGAACTCAACGGATTTCGATCCGATCCGATCAGGTCGAATCTTTTTTAAAAAATTGGGTCGGGTCATGTCAAGTTTTTTTTTTAAGTTGTGTTCATTTGGGTTTATGGTGAAAAATGTCTGACCCGAATAAAAAAAATATAATTCTTTCTTATATATTTATCGATAATTGCAATAATACCCCTTCATATATTATTTTCTTTCAATTAAGTCCCTATTTTTATTGAATAAAAACAATATTTTTTAATAAAATATTATTTCAAGCAGGACCGGGTTTGAATTTTATCTCAAAAAATCTGATCGGATTTAGATCAGGTGGAAATGATATTGTAATATCCTCAATATCGGGTTAGTGACTAAATTGTAAAGTTTTAGAATTTGGTGATTAAAGTGTAATAATTGAATAGTTAAGGACTTATATGGAAAGGTTGTGTAGGATCAAATTATAAGAAATGATGAATTGAAGGACAAAATGGTCATTTGTAAGTAAATAATTTAATTGGGTTGTGGTTATATATTAACCACGTGGAGATGAAGGAAGCAAAACAAGCTTCCAGAGTTCTCTTCATCTTCTTCTTTCTTCATGCGTAAGAGCCAAAAACAAATGTGAGTTTTCTAGTTAGTTGGTTTCTTGTTGAATTCAAGGTTGGTTTAGGATCATTAGATGATAACTAAGCTTAAGGAAAGCTTAAGTTATCTTAAGATCAAAAGATGATGGAGTTAAGAAAGATGAAAGATTAGGAGTTCTTGAATGAAATCTTGAAATAGAGTTCATAAGTAGAATTGGAAGTTAGATTTGACTTGTTGTCAATCTAGTTAAGACATAAGAAGTGCTATAATTGAATTTAGAACATGTTGAAATTTGAGTATGATTCTTGAATTTCATAAAGAGGAGAGGATATTGAGGTTAAAGATGGGATAAATGAATATTAGTGAGGTTAAGCATGTGTATGTAAGTTAGGATTATTAAAGGGGTGAAATATGAAGTATTGAGCTGAAATGAAGTAATTTTCGTGTTGAAAATGTGAATTCTGGGCTAAGGGTATCGGTACCCATTCAATAGGCACCGATACCTCAAAAGTAAAATTTTACATAATGTAATTAGGGTATCGATACCTAGGGGGTACCGATACCTCAGTTGAGGGATGTATCGATACCTTATAGAGGGTACCGATACCTACTTTAAATAAGCGATGAGATTACCTTTCCTTTAGCCTAATAAATGAAAGATTAAAGTATACCAATTAGAATACTGATATGTATCTATGTATTATTATGTAGATATAAAATGTAATCATATTCTGGAACAATCAAAGGATTAGGATCGAGTCAAATCAAACAAGGCTAAGGTGAGTGCATACCTAGGTAGAATTGTATGGAGATAAGACTTGCGATAAGTCTATATCTTATAGTTGAATTTATGATTTTATATTCATGCACATGCATATATATGTATATTATTGTTATAGTGATTTCATGCATAATTCATACATGTTTTAATAAGATATTGTATGAATGAATGCCATGATAAGATAATCAATCCAGATGTGTGAAATAATGGAAGTGATAATAAGAGTGCATGTGAAGTGAATTATGTGTTTATATGAAAAGTAATAAAGTAGATATGAAAATGAGAAGTAGATTCATATTTAAGCCCATGTTATTTAATATGATAGTTGTAGGTATAATTGGCATGCCAAGAGTCGAGGAATTATTAGTGGTCCTTCGGGACATAGTGGTCATTTGGGACAAATATTCAGTGCCTCTAGTGGGATTTTTATTCGAGTTGTGGTGACAATATTGTGCACAACATCAGTGTACTCACGTACCTTTTGTTCTCAATAATATACATGGGCATCCAAAGATAAATTGAATGAAAACTCTTATAAGACGTAAATGTTCATTCGTGCATATCATGTTTATATATGTCATAATGTGATATTTACATGTGCATTACAATGTCATAATAGATTGAAAGTAGTACATGTTCATGATTTTATTGCTATGTGTTTATTATTATGCCTCACTAAGTCTATGACTTAGCGTGTAAGTGATTTACACGTAGGTACCAAGAAACAAGAAGAGCAAAAATAGGAGTGACAAGGACAACATCACTACTAGAAATCAGATAAAAAGTAACTGATAAAGTATGTATTTTGTTGTATATAGTGTGTTGACATGTAAGAAATGTGTTAGTTACGAATGCTCTAATCGATTTTGTATTATTTTGGTAAACTTATGTAAAATAAAATTTTTTATCTTAATGAAAGTTTAAAATTTCATTAATTTTCTTAAAGAGTCAAAGTTTGAAAAGTCAATGTGGCACTTCAGACTCGTATCCGGGTCGAATACGGGTTGTGAGTGTTATATATATATTTTTAGGGTCAAGTTTGGGTCGGATGAAAGATTTAAATTTTTTGAATCAAATCAAGTTAACCGAAAATCTAACCCGACTCGACCCATGTTCATCTCTATCACTTTTGTTTCCTTATATAAAACATAAATAAGTATGAATATTTTCATCCTATAAAAAAATCATTTTTTTAAAAAATTAAGTCAAATATAAACCTATCAAAACCGGATAATTTTAACATCATTAATCGTGAGCTTGCATCGGCAATACTGAGATCTAACATCGATTTCATCGGGCTTTCACCGGAGGGACACAAACTCGAAAAACGAACGATAAAGTTCCCGGCGCTGCCGGTAACTCCTTCACTGCCGTTCCCGCTAGGTATAAAAACAGATTCCATGAAATCTCCCTTTCTCTATCTTTATCTACCATTTTCCCAGTTTTATAAATTAAGTGAAAAAAAAAGTAAACAAAGGTAAAGTTTAGCTTGTGTTCTTCTTATTTGTCTGCAGCTCGCGATTTAAGGTTAATAGCTTCCCTTCTTCTTCTTTATTCATCTGTTTAATCCTTTTTGTTTAATTAAAATAGTGTAAAAAGTTCTCTGGTCGATTCTGCTTTGGTCGATCTCTAGAGCCAGGGAAGTTTACTGCTTTTTCCGTGCCCTTTTTTGAAGTGATTCTTGCTTGATGTTTTCTTATCTTATTGTTTAGCTTGCTACTAAGGGTTTAATTAAGGTCAATTTGTAGTTGCTCCTGTTTGGACCCTCATTTTTGTTTATAATTTGAATTGGATTGCACTTCGGGATATGGGTACGCGTGTGATCACGTTGGGGCGAACTTTGATTTGTACTTTGTTTTGCACTTTGTTTTGCGTATTTAGTGATTTGATAGCTGATATGTGCTCTTAAAGTGCAAAGATTTTAGGTTTTGACTATTCTAGTTAGACATTATTGGTTTATTGAGTTGGTTTCAAAATTAGGTTTTCTTTTGGTTGTTTATTAATCTTCAAGATTTTGGGACTTGTTTGCACAGTGTTTCTAGTATTCAATGACTTATCTGAGTGGAGTAATGTTAGCAAAGGTTGTAACTTTGTTCTCTTGAAGTAGTGCAATTCAATTTTTTTTAATGTTTTCCCAACTTATATCGTGTTTCGATATCTGAATCAAATTGTTGAGGGTGTATTTATCATTATAAAGGTCTGGCTCTGGATAGCTATTTAGACACCAGCCAGCAGGGGGCAGTACCTCCAATGGCACCTTATCGGGTGACTGGGGGGTTAACCCAATCTTCCTCGAGTTCTGGAATTTTCTTCCAAGGAGATTGGCAGTCTCAGGCTGTTGTTAATTCTCGCTTGAGATCACCTTATGAGAACTCATCTGATTTAGTTCCCGGAACTGGGTATCCTATTCTTGGCCCTGTTTTGGGCGATATGAACAGTGCGGTGTTGAATGGTGTGGCAACCTCAGGACCTAGTGTTGGGGAAAGTTCTTTGGTCACAGATGCAAATTCGGCGCTGTCAGGAGGTCCTCACTTGCAGAGAAGTGCTAGCTTTAATACCGAGTCATATGTGCGCTTACCAGCGTCGCCCATGTCTTTTTCCTCCAACAATATAAGCATATCAGGTTCATCGGTAGCTGATGGATCTTCTGTAGGCCAGCAGGGCTCTCATCAAGACCCAAGTGTTCAAATGCAGAACAGCCAGCTGCTGCAGCAAGGGGCCTCAACTGCTTCATCTTTGCCTGCGTCACAAACCGGGCAAGTTTCACTTCCCATGGGTCCACGAGTTCTAGGGTCCTTCATGCAAGATCCTAATAATCTATCTCAGGTGCAGAAGAAACCTCGATTAGACATCAAGCAAGAAGACATTCTGCAGCAGCAGGTGTTGCAACAGTTGGTGCAAAGACAGGATTCTATGCAGTTGCAATCTCGAAACCCCCAATTACAAGCTTTGATCCAGCAGCAAAGACTTAGGCAACAGCAACAAATTTTGCAGTCAATGGCACCATTGCAGAGAGCACAGTTGCAGCAGCAGTATCAAATGCAGCTGAGGCAGCAATTGCAACAACAGGGCATGCAGCAAGTAGCTGGAATGAAGCGTCCCTTTGATGGTGGTGTATGTGCTAACCGCCTAATGCAACACCTATATCACCAACGGCAAAGGCCTCCTGTGAGTTTATGTTTTTTTTTATTTTCTACATCTTGTGGCAAAATATCTCGAATCTGAATTGGTTTCAGTTAATGGTTTCGCTGCTCTTGAAGATTGCATTTTTTTGTGGAAATATGTAAGCTTAGTTACCTTGCTGCAGTCATGAAGTTATCATCCCCCCTTTTGTGTATAGAAATCTACCATATACTCCTATGAATGCTCGACTATCTTCTCGTCACAGACTTGACATCAACTCATTTTCAACTTGGTTATCGCTGAGAATCCTGTTATGTCTCCTTGATTTTGTAGGATAATACTTTTGCATACTGGAGGAAATTTGTTGCAGAGTATTATTCTCCTCGTGCAAAGAAAAGATGGTGTTTGTCACTGTATGATAATGCTGGGAGTCATGCACTTGGTGTTTTCCCTCAAGCTGTTAAGGTTAGTCTTTATGCTTATTTTCTCTAGTTTGTAGCATATGAAAATTATCTTAATATCATGAAGTTTAGGCCTTTTTCTTGAATTGTTTGCACTGATTTGGTATCCTGCATGCATACTTCTGCATGAATAATAATATCCATCAGTTGGGTTCTTGATTTTTTGCTCGTCTTATATTAGTATAATTCTGATTTTCTTTATGTAAATTTCAGGATGCCTGGCATTGTGATATTTGTGGGTCTAAATCTGGAAGGGGGTTTGGTAAGAGATTTATGAGCTTTTGCGTTGTTGTATAGAATATTCATCTTGGTAGGAATTACATGTTAAAGTACAGTATGAAAAAAAAAGATGGTCTTCATTGATTTTGATTTTTATCTCAGTCACACTTCCGTGATTGTATAGTATCCTTTTTCTCTCTCCTTATATTGACATATCGAATGGTACATGACATCTGACCGCTTGATTTTAACCCATTTAAATGCTCTCATGTTTACAGAAGCAACTTTTGAAGTACTCCCCAGACTTAATGAAATCAAATTTGGTAGTGGAGTGGTTGATGAGCTTCTGTTTTTGGACTTGCCACGTGAGTGTAGATTCCCTTCTGGAATAATGATGTTGGAGTATGGAAAAGCAGTCCAGGAGAGTGTATATGAGCAGCTTCGTGTTGTTCGTGAGGGGCAGCTTCGTGTCATATTCACTCAGGACTTGAAGGTTAACAAAAGTTTATTCACATTTTGCAGTTTTTATTTCTTCTATTTAGGGAATAACCTATTGCCACTTCTCTTTTGCAGATATTATCTTGGGAATTTTGTGCACGTAGACATGAAGAACTTTTTCCGCGCCGTTTAATTGCTCCTCAGGTACTAAAATTTGCACCTTATTAGCTCTAACTTCCTGTTGCCGATTTTTCTGCAAATACACGGTCACTCCTTTGCTATTTCCTTGCATTTTGTAAGGAGTATAATGTTATTTCTTTAATTATGGTTGTATCATGTATGATAGTACATACAATTGTATTACACTTTTAATGAAAGATGAGAGATCATTTAGGACAACTGAAAGTCACTTACAATGGCTGACATATTTACTCAAGTAATCCACAAGTGGCGTTATTTTATTCCCACCTTGTTTTCTTTATTTAGATTTGCATAGCACTGATACCAAATTGAGAAGAACAGGTAAGGGAATGAGAGAGAATAGACAGAAACATTTAGGGATGAACAAAGGAAATTGAGAGAGGAAACCCTGGGGAAATTAACCTTTAAGATTCAATTGTAATTAATTCCTATGAAAAGTAAAATGAAGAGTTTTTGAAGTTTCCTTGCAACTTGTTTGGGATCTGAAGGTAAAAGTTATTGGAGTAAATGGGGTGAAAGAATTGAAGAGTGAAGTAGTGAAAACTTGAGAGTTTATGTGCTATTACATTGCATATAAATCATTTCTAAAATACGTTTTTGAGTCGCGAAAGGATTACAAGTACTCTAATACAAACCCTTTCAATTGAGGTAACTTCCAAAATGAGGATTTTGACCATGTATTGCAGGTTAGGGATAATAGAATTCAAACAAGGTAGGTTAATCCCTTTACTCCTTCCTGCTCTACTCTATTTTATCCCCATTACATCCCAACATGCTGTAAATTTTGCTCTGAATGCGTTGATAGTATTAGGGATCATAACAAGGAAGGCCAAAATTATGTTATCCACTTGATGTTATCCTTTAAAGAACAGGGTAAAAATAAAGTGTTTTTTCTGTTTCCATTTTTTTCTTTTTCCTCATTTTTTTAATGAGGGGGAGAGGTTGCCGCAGATTGAACCTGAGGCCTAATGATTAAAACGATGTCCCTTGCCAATACACCACAGGCTTGGTCGACATTGCTTTCATTTTGTTTTAATCTTTAAGTTTACATTCCTTTGGCATGTGTATGAAATTTAATTATTCTATCTTAAAAGAATAAAGAAAATGAACTTCATAAATCATATTTGGTTTAACATATTTGATCATATGTTGTTTGTTTTAAGTTCTTTAACGACACCTGATATAACCTGACTTTTGTAAATCATGTAGGTAAACCAGTTACTTCAGATAGCACAGAAGTGCCAGAGCACAATTTCTGAAGGTGGATCTGAGGGGGTTTCTCTGCAGGACTTGCAAACAAACAGCAATATGTGAGTTAATTGAAACTAATGTCACGTATCAGATCCATTTTGTTAGGGCCCTTAAGATTTCAAGAGATTACTTGCTTCAGAAACTGTGGAAATACGATTTTTCTGATAGTTACCCCCCTTGAGTGCCATTAAGCCAGAGAGGCACCAAAAAGTGATTTTGCAGGGTCTTGAAATATTACTGTTTGTTTCAGTTGAAATTTTGGTTGTAGGACGAGACCTTATACTTTTTATTTATTTTTTTTTAACCAAGGATTGAGTTGTTATTTACCAAAAAAAGTGAGTAGTTTTGCTATTACATGGTTATTACTTATTAGAACTTTGCTGATTCAACATGATTACATGGCTGCTTTCTCTTAGGGTCCTGACAGCTGGACGGCAGCTTGTGAAGAGTTTGGAGTTAAAGTCGCTGAATGACTTGGGTTTTTCGAAAAGATATGTCCGGTGTTTGCAGGTACAGTTTTAGCTTTGTGCATTGAACTTGCAGTAAATAGATATTCATTTTGAGTTTCCTTACAACTTTTGCATAATTTGTTATAGATTGCCGAGGTTGTAAGTAGCATGAAAGATCTAATAGATTTTTGTCGAGAACACAAGGTTGGGCCTATTGGTAAGTTGTGCATTTGCCTTACTGACCTCTGACGTTTTGATAGTTTTATTTTGTTCATCACATCAAGTGGTCTTTTATCAAAAAAAAAATCACATCAAGTGGTCTTTTATCAAAAAAAAAAAATCACATCAAGTGGTCACAATTATGGAATTGTATTTAACTGGCAACTGCTTTTAATTCTAACTATGATATGGCATGCTCTCTTGTTTTATTAATGTCTAGAAAATAATAATTCCATGCTTTTAACTCTACTCATGTAGCATGAGATGATCTTCAGCTGCCTCGTGCTAGTGTTTCATATTTGTTTTGGGTTAATACAAAAATTTTGCTCCTTAATTATACCAGTTTTGTGGGTTGGTGTTAGTCAAAATGATAACATGCAAATATTGGTTATTGTACACGTATCATGTCACCATTTATTTATTTTAAAAATTACTTTTGGTGTTGGTCAAAATGATTCATTTTAATCATCTATTTATTGGTTGGGGACAACAGTTTATTTTATATGAAATGGGAGAAACTTTATAGCTTTGATCCTAACCATCTGTTTTCTTAAAAACCATATTTGCAGATGGCTTGAAAAACTATCCTCGACATGCCAGTGCAGCCAAGCACCAAATGCAAAAGATGCAGGAAATGGAGCAGTTAGCGAATGCACAGGGTCTGCCAACTGACAGGAATACCTTCAATAAGCTAATGGCACTACATCCTGGAATAAGCAACCCAATGGGTAGCAGCCAGCAGCAGATGGTTGGTCGAGGAGCTTTAAGCGGTTCAGCACAAGCTGCTATGGCACTTTCTAACTACCAGAATATGCTCGGTAGGCAGAACTCGATGAATTCAAACCCTCACTCACTCAATCAGGAAGCCTCTTCTTCCTTCAATAATTATAACCAGAGTCCATCTTCAAATTTCCAAGGACCTGCTACCTTGTTATCAGGATCCATGCAGATCCTGCCTGGTAGTGGCTTATCGAGTCCCCATTTACAAACTCAACCGCAGCAGCAGCAGCTTACAGTATGCAGTAATAACATAATCCAAAAGAACCATTCGCAGCCCTCTCAGGGTAACCAGGTTTTACAACAACAAATGATTCAACAGCTGTACCATGAGATGTCTAATTACAATACCGGAGATCAACAACAGCAACAGCAACAGCAGTCCCTGAGTGGGCAGAATGAGAATACCAATTCGGGAAGAAACTTATTGGGCTTTGGTAGCAACACCACTGCTCAACCAGCTGCAGCCACCTCTAATGTATCAGGAAGTGCAGCTGGGGCTGCCCCGAGTCGAAGCAACAGTTTTAAAGGCGCTTCAAACAGCGACTCCTCAGCCGCTGGTGGCAACCAGAGAGCACCTGATTTTCCTCGGAGTCTCCATTTGCAGGATGATATAGTTTCGGATATAGCTCAAGAGTTCTTGGATAGTGGGTTTTTTAACAGTGAACTCGATGATTATGACTGGAAGGCATGACTAACATTATGTGGCCCAGTTAAGGGCTCTCCCATTCGGTGAGTAATGGAGCAAATTGTTGTATAGAGCATTGGACATAGCTGCTGCCCTTTCTTCCCATTGTTTTATCTTTCTCGACCACTTCAATATGGCATTGTTGTGACAACACTTGCTTTGTGCTTTCAGTAGGGATTTAGCTATCAATTTCCTTTTCCCCTTTTCTTTTTTGCTTTCTTTTTTAAGCATTTTCAGTTTCAAGCCTTGCAAATGTAATCTATTGAACAAACTTTGGGAACATATTCTGTTTCTTATAATAGAATGTTTACATGTTTCACTGCCCACAACTCATTGCGTCATCAGCATCAGCATCAGCCTGCCCTAGAACGAGAAAACAAACTAAGGAATTAAATGAAAAAGAAAATGTATTGTAAAAACTTTCCTTCTTACACCAACAAAACAAAGATCTAGTTTTGGTAAAAAAATCCTCACTTTTAGAGCTTTTGAATTCATCTAGAAGCTCAGGGAAAGAGACAGAAATGGAAGGAGCAATGGTTTTCAGAAATACATCTCCTTTGAAAAGATTTCAAACTAAAGGAAAATGAGGAAGAAGATGAAGGTAAGAACGAGAAGGATATGATGATGAAAAAGATGGATAATGACATGTTCAGTCATTGTACCAAATAACCCTAGTAAAAGACAATAAAACATCATAGATCATTCTTCTTATCACCCTTTTAAAATAACTCCCATTTACTCCACTTTTGGCCCAATACGTGGCCTCTAAATGAACATTTAATGAATATGGCATAGTTTTGTTGGATGGTCGATTCATTTGATTGAAATCTACTATGGCATCTAAAAGGTTTCAAATAAATTAAGATTCAGTCACTATGTTCTAAATCATTACATTCATCACTTGAAGAAAGGTTATTAAAAAGAGGGTTTCAGAATTGTCAGTCCTAGCTTATCATTGGATCTATGCCCTCTTTTGCTCTCTCTCTCTCTCTCTCTCTGCAAACGGAAGGGTACCTTCCCCTTCTTCTCCTTTCACTGAACACATTTACTTAAAGTTTGATTTTTTACACCATTACTGCAGTACATCTAATATCTATAATGTTTCCATGATTGCTTGCATTATAGTAAGCTTATGAATTATGGTTCCTTTCATTTTTCTTTAACTACCCTGGAAGATAATTCTTGGGGGATGCCGTATTTCATCTATATTTTGTTCTTATCTTCCTCTGCGATTGATCTCAATGAATATTTGTAATTGTAGACAAACTGTGGATTTGATGTTTTTGTCCCCATGCTTGGTAATTGAATCTTTGAAAGTGCTTCCTAAGCAGTCTTTATGTTTATCTGTCTGATGTTATGCATTATTGGGGATGCTTACGAAGGATCCCAAATGGATGGTTGCATTGATTTTATACAATTTCATGGACCTGTATTGTAAAAGTCTATTCCGGAGGTAATCTTCTAAATCTAATTTACTCTATTCATAATATCTGAATTCAATGTTTTCAAATAATCCAAAATCTCGTCCCACTAAATTAATTTACTGTGGGTCGTAACCCTTAATTTAATAAATAATAAAGAACCATGTATGTTGTGTTCCATGCTGGGAGTAGAGGCCAAATGGGAATATGGGTTCTTATAAAGTTAAGCAAAGACAAAGTAAAGAATGGTTTGGCCTTTAACAAAGATCACTCAAAAAGTGAAAACAAAAAAGGAACCATAGCATCCTTCATTTGAACGCTCAAGAATAAATAAATAAAAAAACCCAAGTGTTCAAACCGAGCACTTAATTCATCAATCAAAATCGAGTTTGAATCGAGTTTAAAATAAATGTTAATTACGATTAAAATAATATCTTTTGTCGGTACACTACTGATTTAATAAATCAACACATTAAGATATTAATTATGAATGCACTGACCAAATTATTTCAATGACAAAGAATGGTGTTGTTTTTAAAGATTCTGGGTTCGAACACCAACAACTACTAACATAGGTAACTGAACGTTCATTGTCGAATGATTTAACGCAGAAAGAACTGGGAACTCGATTCTCGCATAGTCAAGTATGGTATAAAAGAAAGATTAAGCTAAACACATGCAAAATTTGCAATTTTCCCATTCAAAGGATTTTCCACACGTTTTCTAATAACCACGTAGTGTTTCTTTTGCTCTAATCGTATTTTTGAATTACGGATATCTTTTATTTATTCATTTAAGTATTTAAATAAAGATTTATTTTACTAAATAAAATAATATTATAAAAGAAATTAATTTATATAAAATAATTAATATTATCAAAATTATGAAGAATCGGATCCAAAATCTTAATTAAATTAAAAGTTGAGATTTGCTCATTTAATACTAAAACAAACCAACCCCAGTTATACATAGATAGGGATAGTAACCCGAATTCGATAGATTTTGATCCGACTCGATCTTATAGAGATGGTTTTTTAATTTCTAGAACGGGGTGGGGTGGGACGAGATGGGTTACATAATTGGTAGATTTGAGATAGGCGGAACCGGGTTTAAGTGAAAAATCATTGAACCGACCCGACCCGATTATATATATAATTTCTAAGATTTCCATTATAATGTTAAAATATGTTATTTAATTATTAGAAAATATAGTAAATAAATAAAATATATTATTTTATTTATTTTAAAATATAGATATTTCCGATCGGGTCAGGTCAAGATCAAGATTTTAGTCTAAAACTCGAGACGGGACGAGTCAGATATAAGCAATACATTTTCGGGTCGAGATCGTGTCGGCAAAAAACCGGCCGGCCTCAGCCCGTGCCCATCCCTATATGTGGAACTGTCACTGCCAAGGTAATGTGACCAATGCTCTTTGGTTTATAGGATCTTTGTAGTGCAAAAACCAGGGCCGCCTCCAACATAAAGCTGACTTTGACTTTGGGTTTAATTTGCCAAACATTGAGAGACAAGACAACCTAAAATGGGTTCCAAGTACATGCCACAATTTCCTTGTCCTTTGCCCTACACGATATCATCTTTAATATGAACTTTAAGTCCCCCTTGAGGGTGTCGAATACGAATACGATCGAGATTTTATACAATTATCGAGTACTGAAAATTTCGATAAAAGGTTCATGTAATAATTTTTCTCTCGCCGTGTTTATAAGCATTCAAAATTCACTATAAAACCCATTTGGTCCCCCGTTCCACAACCCTCCCTAACACAATCTCTCTATTTCAATCACTAGTATCATTTTTCATATACAGCAAGATGTGCCAGTTCAAATCCTCCCGCAAATGTGATTCCGACGTCCCTTACCTTCTACCGATCGACGACCCGAAAGGGTCGTCGAATATTTATGAACCATTCATCCCTAACGAGAAGGTAGACAAGGCCGTTTCTGTTTCTCTTGCAATCAAGGAAGCCATTGCCATAGCCAATATCGCTGTCCCTATGATACTAACCGGGCTCATGTATATTCCCGGTTGTTGCTTTCCATGCTTTTTCTTGGTATCCTCGGTGAAATAGCCTTGGCGGTTGGATCGCTCGCCATCAGCTTCGCTAACATCACCGGGTACTCCATCCTCTCCGGTCTCGCCATGGGAATGGAATCAATTTGTGGTCAGGCGTTCGGCGCAAAACGACACACCGTTCTCGGCATCACGTTGCGGAGAACGGTGCTATTGCTTCTCGTTGCTTCGGTTCCAATTTCTCTCCTGTGGATCAACATGAGGAGAATATTGATACTATACGGCCAGGATGAAACTATAGCCATGGAAGCACAATGGTATCTTGCTTATTCGGTCCCTGATCTTTTAGCCCAATCACTTTTACATCCATTGAGAATCTATCTTCGAACACAATCCATTACTCTCCCTTTAACATGTTGTGCCATGTTATCGATTCTTCTCCACATACCCATCAATTATCTTCTAGTTTCATATCTTAAACTAGGCATCAAGGGTGTTGCTCTTAGTGGTGTGTGGACAAATTTCAATATTGTGGCCTCATTGATCACCTATGTACTCTATTTGGTGTACATAAAAGGACATGGGGAGGGTTCTCGGTCGTCGAGTGTTTTAAAGAATGGAGATCTCTGTTGAATTTGGCCGTCCCGAGCTGCATTTCGGTCTGCCTCGAATGGTGGTGGTACGAGATCATGATTCTCCTATGCGGATTGTTGTCAAACTCGACGGTGAACGTCGCTTCAATGGGGATTTTGATCCAAACGACGGCGTTGATCTACATATTTCCGTCATCTCTAAGCTTCGGTGTGTCGACTCGATTCGGGAACGAGATCGGTGCAAACCGGCCTAAAAAGGCCAAGCTCGCTGCCTTCGTAGGCGTTTGTTGTGGATTCATACTGGGATTATCAGAACTATTGTTTGCCACAATTGTGAGGAACATGTGGGCTAGCATGTTCACGGGAGACAAAGAGATCATTGCATTAACATCACTTGTTTTGCCGATAATCGGGTTATGCGAGCTGGGGAACTGCTTGTAAACGACCGGTTGCGGCATTTTACGAGGCACGGGAAGGCCAAAAGACGGCGCCAACATAAACCTCGGCTGCTTTTACCTCGTCGGTGTGCCGGTGGCGGTGTGGCTTGGTTTCTTCGCTGGATATGATTTCAAGGGACTATGGCTCGGAATGTTGGCAGCTCAAGTGTCGTGTATGGTGACCATGCTAGTGGTTCTGATCGGAACGGATTGAGAATTTGAGGCCGAAAGGGCTAAGAAGCTGTCCGGAGCTCCACCGGCCGTCGATGACAGTAAAGAAACACCAATCCAAGCAGAAATCAAGGAGGATTCGTCTTCTTTATTAGGTGATTTGGATCATTATTGCCTCGTTTAATCAACATTTTTTCTTGTTCTTCGAGTTTAATATTTTTTTATCTTATATAGCTTAAGAGAGGATTAGGATCCAATTTCATTAGTTTTGGAATTTTCGGTATATTAATCAACCATCAACCATCATTAACTAAGCATATTCTACGCAGTGGCGGAGACACAATTTGATCTAGGTGGGTACATGCTTATCCTGAAATCGAAATTTTTTTCGATTAATTATTTATTTTATTAAATATCTACCCTAAAATCTAAGTTTTATTCGATTAGTTACTAATTTTACGAAAGATACTGCCTGAAATTTTATTTATACTTATTCATTTAAAAAATTTATGTTATTAACATATGTGCCCAAAAATATATTTGGATCCGTCACTATTATACTTGCCATTTTTTCTAAATATTCAGCCGCACAACTTGTATCCAATACTGTCATACGATCTATAAACATGAAAAATTAACAGGCCCATAATGAATTATTTTTTT